AAGATACATACTTTGCCATATATTAAGAAGTTAACCAAATGAATTATTCTTGGCGTAAACTGAAAACATTGCGTCAAGATAAGCTTTTAAATTTAAAATTTAGCAATAATTTGAGTCATAGAATTGAAATGTGAAAAAAAAATTGGCGTGTTAATTTCAGAAAATGTCCGATTTTGTGTCAAAATACCTAAGTTTAAGCAATGCTATATATAAATCTAATATATATAAATTTGAATACGTTTCTAAAAAATTGAAAATAATTAAAGGTATTCTGTCCATGTGTACTTGTACTCCCATGATCACCATATAGAGTTGGTTGTTTGAGACTACGTATTTCGTATAAAGGCACAACATATTTCAAAAAATCGCCTCACTCTCAGTCATATATGGAAACCACATGGACAGTGAACAACAACTGTAATATAAATCGCTTTCGAAATTGAATTGATCAATTTGGGTCAGTGGTATTTTGATACTTTGGTAGGTATAATGGCATTTAGCCGATGAACATTAATCCTGTTCTTGCCAGTTCTTAATAGAATCCCAAACTGGGCTTGATCTGTGTAGAAGTCTGCAAAGAAAATTTCTCCACCTGAGGTAAATATGAAGGGAGAAGATGCAGAAACACTTTGTTTCTGGACTGAACAAGTAAGCGACATGGATGAATCAGGAGATGTGGGAGGAGCTTGTCAACTACTTCTGGAAATGCAATGTGTGTTATTGTATAAAAGTGTAAGGTTTGTTCTAAGTTTTTAACAGTTATTTTTTGTTAAAGCTACTTGACTGTCCTTGCAATTTCCTACCAGCATGTGTTTTTAGAATCGCAGTTTATGCAAATTAGTAAGAGTAGTATTTAAGCCGAAGTTCCATTGACTTCGAGAGAGTTAAAGGGATATGCTAACTGCCATTGTAATTGCTATATTTCTAATCTACTACAATGGCTTTTATGGAAGACTACAGCACGAATGGTGCATGAGTGAGTTCCAAAATTTTGGATTTATATTTTCGTATTCAGGATTACCCGAAAGGGACAAACATAGAGCGGTACAGACTGCTTGGTCATACATCTCTTACTAAAGTGATGACCTATGACTTCGAGAGAGAGCCCCAGAGTTTCTGACTAGCGCGCGTTCGCTTTTTGGTTACGTCTCTCTCTAAGCTGTACTACGCTCGGCCCTTGATAGCTTGTTAGCTTATATTTATTCGCCAACTACTTAGACTTTTGATAACTTCGGCTATATCTTTTTTGTTAAGCATTGGCTAAGTTTTATTTCTTATTATTTTAAGTTCAAGCCGAAGTGGAGGCATTGCTGTAGGCTCGAAGGTATATACAATACTAGCTGTTACCCGGCATGTGCTGTAATGCTACTTAAAGGAAAGAAAGTGATACTACGTTTTAATTCTGTTAATTGAAATGCTTTTGGATATGCAATATTTTTTTTTCCCATCTGGTGCGGGCAGTTTCACTTTTCTACCTACATAGTAACATTCCTGGTGCTTCATTCTTAAATTTGAGGGCTCTGCAATACATTATAATTTATCCATCTTTCCAATGACCACACTTGGATGAAGCCTGTAATCATAATTAGCATCGTAATGAAATGCATCAAGATTTAAATCAGCGTGCAGTGTTCGTCTAGATCGAGCAGTGCGTATTCGAATATTTTCCAATCTTGCTTCCCGTTGCTCGTTTGTTTCATACGAACAGGCTTGAGCAGAACTTTTCTTGAACGTTTTCTAGTTTTGCTTCTCGTTGCCAGTTTATTTCTGAAGCTCATGCTGCCCTTTTATTTATCGTGCTTAAGATGCAATTTGAGCAACTGATTTTCACTCTAGTGGCATAATTGATTTCACAGCTAAAGTAACACTTTGTGACGGCTATTACAAATTCACTTTCAAAAGCAAAGAAAATGCGTGTGATGCAATAACACGCATGTTGATGCGTGCGTGTTTTTGTGTGAAAAATTTAATATTTTACGCACTACTGAACGAAAACACACTTTGAAATATTTTAATTTGGACAGTGCAGCACATTTCTCTTAAACAGCCGAGTTTTTTATTAAATTCGAAACGAATTACGTGCGTTTTCCTGAGTGGCAGCACATTTTTTTTATATCGCCGAGTATTCTGACTAAATTTGAAACATATATATCGGAGTGGCAATGCAAATTTTTCAGGTCGCTGAGATTTTAATCAGTAGTAATTAAATTCACAAAGAATAATGTACATTGTATTTTGTATGGGAAAAAAGTGGACGTCGACTAGAAAATTGTAGAAAGCTTGACGATAGCTATAGTAGTGACTTAATGTATCGCGAACAAACAAACAAACTCGCAAACATACAATCTTCTTTATATATATAGATATACACTATGTCCACTCAAAATGATCGTAAAAATAAGGTACCGGTGTTGATGCCAGAAAGGTGATACTCAGGGTAATAAATTTAATGAAAGAAGTTCGTTAGCCGAAATGAACTTTCAGATAGGTGCCTTGCACGCTCATTGGCTGGAATCACCTGGCTTTCTTCTTTCGCTTTAAGTTCGCCAGTGGAAACAAAGAAAGGAAAGCTTTCCATTTTTGCTTTTGTTGTCAATAGTGAGCACACTGAATGCTCAGTGATCCCGTGTATGAATCTGGGAAAATCCAGTGTTTATTCTTTAGACTCCCGTATTTTACTCTCTGGACTCTCTTTGCCCTTCCAGGCAATTTTAGCCCCATCCCCTTCAGCTTAGCTTTCAGCCATTGAAATGAAATTACAAGCCTTTAATTTCTGACATGCATTAAAATTATAACTGTAAATTTTACATCGAAAATAATCAAAATTTGTAAGCCTGTAAGCCTAAAATATTCCTTGCAGGTTATATAAAACATTTTGTCTGTGATTAATATCTTCACAATCAGTCTTCTGAAAATAGTGACTGAAGCATTTTTCTATAGCTGAAAATATGGAGAAAAAATCAGGTAATCTAGTAATACTAAAATGTTTCTCTTCATAGTTTAAAATCTAGAGAAAAGGAATTCCATACCTTACATGAAATATTGCAAAATATTAAATCACTGCTCGAAACACATTGATAGATATTCATGTGTTTAGCCCAACGATGATAATACCTTTATCTGAGTTAAGATAACACGCGAAATAACCGTTGTTGGAGATGTTAAGGCAGAAAGAATCAGCGTAATATTTATAAACTAGAAAGGACTAATTTCGAAGGTTAAATAAAAACTGTTCTTCAGCTACAGAAGTACAAATGACGAAAGAGAAGCCTGTGCTTAGGCAATAGCAATGACAGGAAGGAAGCCAAGCTGTCGGCACCAGGATTATACAGGATTCCTTGCCAGTTTGGTTTAACTTAGATTTGTCCAACTAACAGAGCCTTTCTCATTTATAAAACTCTTTCAGTTCTAGTTAATGATATCAATTCCAATTCATCTTTACACTCACCTTTTAAGGAAATTATTGTTTGATTTCCTTTCCCTTATTATTATCGCCTGAGCACAAGCTTCTGTTTTTCCATTTGCATTTCAACAGTTGATGAAGAAGGTTCTATATTTAAACCTTGAAACTAGTCATGAAAATTTACGAATATTATGCTGATTCTTTTCGTCTTATAGCTCCGAATAATATCCTTACTTGTGAAACACATAGTCAGTATTCAGGCTGATTTTTATTAATACGCATTACCAAATACATGAATTTAAAATAATGTTATTGTTATTTAACAGTTTGACCACTAATGGAAGAAACTAATGTTTAAAAATAAATTGCATGTCATCATAAAGACGCGCACTTAACAATGTTTTATTTATTTCATTTGCATTGAGACTTAATAATATTCATAACTCAAGTACTCATTAACTTCGAGTTATTAGAAACTATTTGCATATTATTATAAAATTTAAGTAATAAACGTAATCAAAATCGTAAAAAGAACCTTGTATTTAGCGTAAGTATAATGAAACACTCAATCGATTTCGAGGGCAGCTAAAGGTCCCTCCTCATCAGGAGAAAGAAATACCTAGAAAGAAGAAAATAAAATAAAGGAGAAGGAGTCTCAGAAACACGTGGTCCTTATCAGCACTGCACGTAGTTATAACTGGATTTTTAATCAGAGTTGCACTGGCCGCCTACTTTTACTGAGCCAGGCTATCTGTTCAAGCATAAAGGCCAAGAAAAATTAGCGAAGTTAAAATAGGGAGCGAGGGGCAAATGCGCCTTCACGCTCAAAATCTGTTTATTTGAAGTTCAGATTTGTAAATTTGGAATAATACTAAAGCATAAAACTCAGACATATGTGACATTGGGGAAAATTTGGTGAAACATGCACTGACTTAATTTTTTAGCTCTTATGTCTTGTATTGAAACTACATAATTATATTTCTATATGCTTCTTTGTAGCATGTCTTTTACGATAGCCTGAACAAATTCAAATAACTGATAAAAATTCAATATGCATGTGTTAATTATAGATAAAAGTTAAGGAATAATAATTAAAAAAGATACTCTCAAAAAACAACTCTCTCCTGTTTTTGGCGGATTAAAATCTATTCTATCCTAACTCATCAGATCATACTACATCTCTGCAGGAACAAAGGGCCGAAAGTGAATTATGAAACTCAAAGCAGAGCGTAGCAGCTTATTCATAGAATACGAATATGTAATTATACAGTAATGTAAACGCATAGAGTCATTATGATGTATACTTTTGCGTAGCATTATTACAAGTATTCTATCTTTAACTGCTGAAGAAATCATTCAAAAAGTATATTGCCCCATTTATTACAGACAAAGAATACTGTTTATAGAAGTACTTACAGGTACTGTTGTAAATAGTGCAACGAGGTATGTCTTATAAGTTTCTTGAGCATATGGCGGGAAGTCCTTCTTAATAGTTTTGAGAATTTGTGTTAAAGTTACAGAATATCTTTTTGCACATTTATATAAGGCACATTTCAAGTTAATTTGAGAAATTAGCTGTTAGATCATGAAGTCTTACCTTGTATCGTGAGTTGTATATTCTTACTATCTTCTCCATAATCGTTGAGGGAAGTGCATGTGAATAATGCGGAATCCTTTTTTTCAACTTTATCGATGACGAGTTTAGACTGTCCCCCGAGTGGCAGATCTTCAGAAATGTGTGAATACCTATGTTATAATTACAAGACAAAAGAATTCTTTTTGTTACTTAATAGTGCAAATGAGGTATGCAAGAGATGAATGTCAACTTCAGTATTAAAAATTAGCACAAATTTAATGTCTAATTGTAATTAAAAAGGCAAATGTTTCTTTCATCAGAACCCCCAAGTATACGAAGTTAAAATTTTTTTCGCATTTGAAATCAACGGGAAATAATTTGCCTTTTCCACTTTTTAATACTTTAGCAGGCAATTTATGTAAAAAAGCAGAAAATTATTCTGAATTTTTAAAAGTGTTTTTACGAAAATTGCAAAAAATATTAAAATTAAAATTATTCTATTATTAACCAACAGCCAGAGTAGTTTCTCATAAATTATACTTCTTAGTTTTGTTTCTGAAATTTTAATAATTCAAAAACTTCACATGCATGAAGAACATACAATTATTTGGTATTTTACCATTTATGCGTAGTTTATGCCTATACTTAACACAATCCCCTACATGAAGGTAACATAATTAGTTAGTCAGAACCGCAAAGAGGAAGGCTTATGACGACACTCAGACATCCGAATTGAAACATTATTTCTTCTGGCTACAGAACATCCTCTAGAAGCGAAAAGTAGAAGATAAAAAGAAAAAGTGCTCCAACATTCAAGTCAAATGCAGGGTACATTCGATTATCCGGGCTAATGTCGGAAAGCAGGTCAGAGATAAGATAATCCAAACTATCAATTTTTCTCTGTTAATTTCTTAAAAAAGTCACTAATTTTACTTTGGCTTCGAGAATGTTAAAATATTTGTCGAATTTCATTCTGTATTTTCCGAAGTGTTGTTTCATCACTGAATTCAAATCCCCTTTAATCGACGTCCAACAGAATTTCAATAGAAGTTAACTGTTATCTTGGGAACTAATGAAATTGTGAGTTCTGTGAAATCTTCTTCGCTTGCAGTTTCAAGATCACTCTCTGCCCTTTCTGTTCTTGTGACATTTGAAACGATATCCGCATAACTCAAGCATTGAACGCCTGGCTCATTCGAATCATTCCTCGATATTTTCTCAATCGACATGTTCGAAGAATTTTACCCTTTCGTCTTTTTGGCATTCAACTTCAGATATTGCCTTAACATATTCACAATTATATAGATCTCCGATTTCTATATTATAAAGAATATTTTTCATCAGTGTTTACCTTCCACCAGTCTTTTTTGCTCCTTATATGGCATTTAATATAGTCAAATTTTTCAGAATTTCCTTATATCATGATCATTCTTCAGTAAGAGCACAATGCCTCCTATTATATCCATATAGAAAGAATTGAACGAGATAATCGTCCAAACTAAATCTAAAGACTCAATTTAGCGGTATCCTATGGCATGCTCGAATTTGCGCGTATTTGTTTTTTAAGCGCTGTAGCTCATAACATTGAGTGTTTGTTCATGGGCAGAGTCACACACGGATAATCTGCACACCGGATAATCGCAGCCGGATAATCGAGAGTATACTGGAGAAATTTCCGTGAAAGACTGAATACATAAAATATTTAGTTATTTATTTATTTTAGTGGAAAAAGCTCTTTAATTGAAACAAGGTATTTATTGATAATTGTCAACAAATCCATTTAATTAGCAAAACTATTTCATTTACAAATTAGCCCTTGATTGATCCAGAATTTTAAATTTACGGTATCTGCTCCTTATATCACAAGACGCATAACTTTATGAAATGATTAGTGTTGCACTGCATGCAAAAGTATTCACTTAAGTTATATTTATTTATAATTTTATTTGCTGGAAGCTAAGCCAAAGATTATCGTATAAATCTTTCATGTCAATACCGTAACATCCATGCTGATGTAACATTTTATACACAACTTAGAAGAAAATGACTCCTTTATAGCTGACTTTTGTGTAATATAATAAATAGAATTTTGTTTCTCAAAGCGACCTAAATATTGTAATGTAATGATTAAAATTTAAGTAGGTCCACCACACGCCGCCCCCCCCCCCGAGCCCCCATCTCCCAACACCCAACCTCCTCGCCCCGCACTCTACAGGACCACTCTCACACATAACGGTCACGTCCAGAGGCCGCCCGTCCGCACCCCCTCCGCCAAGCCAGCCGCAGGATCACAGCCCTCCACCGACCCTCCGGCCGCCCAAAGCCCATCCCCCACACCCCTCCTCCACCACCGCCCCCAACAAGACCGGTGCCCCCCTGTCGCCACCCGCCTCAATCCAGCGCACCCTCCCCCGTACGAATGCCCCCCCCCCTCCAAGCCCCCCCACCCTCTTCCGTCCGGCCTTCCCCCGACTGCGCCGGAATCTCAAGCTTAACCACTCTCCCACCGTCGACACCCCGTCCGTCGTACCACGCCACCTCTAAGGTCCGCCTCAGGGCTCCACCCCTTCGGGCCTCCGCCCCCCCCCCGTACATAACCCCCCTCCCCCGCCCCAACCGAGCCCCACCCGGCCCCCACATATCTGACCCGCGCGCCCACGCGCCCCCCCCACCCTCGCCTCTCCCGGCCCCCCTGGCATCTCGGCCGCCGCGGGCCCCCACGACCAGCGCAGCCACGACCCGCCCGGCGGCCGCGGCCCGTTCGCTGACGGCCGCCAGGCCCAGCACTCCGTCCCCCCCACACCCGAGCGCCCTCCGCGGCGCGGCCTTCCCTCCACCGTGCGCCTCTCCGGGCCGGCGGCGCCGCCCCACTTGGGCCCACCCCCCAACCATCGACCGCGGCTACACGGCGCGCCCCTATCACGCCTGGGCGCGCGCCCCCGCCCACTTCAGAGGGTAAGCCCTCCGCTCCGCCGGGCCCCCGTGCCGCGCGCTCCGGCGAAGTAGGCGTTTAGCCCGAACAGCCATTCAAATGGCCCGTCTTCTCTCGCCCACCGTCCAGCATGCCAACCGTTTCTTGCATGCGCACACTGCCCAGCCCCGCCCCCCACACTGTCCGCTGGCCCCCCAGTGCGCGGGCCGCCCCGCCGTCACGCCCGGTCACGCCCCCGGCGTATTATCGCCGCCCATCACCCCCCCCCGCACCATTACGGGCCGCCCTCTCGCACGTCCCCCAGGCCGGATTACCGCAAGCGCCCTCCTCCCCCGCGCCGACCGTGTGACCGGCGCCCACAGCCCCCGCTCCGCCCAGACGCCCCGCCGACTGTCCGGGATGGCCCTTCCCCTTGCCGGTCGCCGCCGTGACCATGAGGGAGGGCGACCTTCATCTGGGAATCGGCGCCCAGCCCGCTTATAGAGCCCCCTCGGCTGTCCCCCCTTAGGGCACCCCTACCCGCCGTCTCCCAAGCATCCCTGCTGGGTCGGGCCGGAGGCGCGCACAGGGCCAGCCTGCCTCCCGCCGATACCATACCCACCTGCGCCTATCACATGGGCCGACCCCACACGCCCAGCCCCGACGTAGCCGGGCTGCCCCGCATCTTCCGTCCCCAGGCCGAGCCTCCAGAGTGCACCGCCCGGCAGACAGGTGTCGGGCTCGGCCCGACGGGACCAGACGCACCCCAATCGTCGGGTTGCACGCCACGACGTACCGAGCCGTGGCCATCGCGGCGCCCCCGCCCGCACCACGAACCGTGGTCCTCGGGTCTCCACTGCGCGCCATCGACGTGCCCGAACACCCCCACACTGCATCGCCCCTCCACGCTCTCACCCTCCTCACTACGCCTCAACCACATCCCCAACCCCCACAACCCCCGCCCCCCGGCACCCCCCGCCGACCGCCCGGGGGACCGTCGCACGACGACCCCGGATCCCGCCTCACCCCTCTTTCCCGACTTTTTCCCTTCAGCGCACGATCGCCCCCCCGATCGCGCCAGAATTACCCCCCTGACGCTTACTAAGGAGTCTCGTTCCCCGCCCGCCCCGCCTCACAGGCCCCCACTTTTACCTCCCGCATAGAAGGTTCCCAGCAATCTGTTCCTCTTCCCCCCATGCTCCTACCCACGACCCCTGCTCCTTCGCCAATTTCCTGCCTGCCCCCTATCACACCCCCAACGCGCCACCCTCGTCCACCCCCCATCTCCTTTCAATGTCCCCAGCCGAGCCGCGCCCCTGGCCCCCCCCTCCCTCCGTCCGTTTGTCTAATTTCCCGCTCGCGGCCCCTCGGCCCCCTCTCTAACAAACACCCCCCGGCCCCAGACTTACATGAAGTGCCCGACTCACTCAGCCTCGTCGCTTCCCGGGCGCGCTACCTGGCGTGCCTGTTGCTTCCCGTATCCTCAACAACACAAACAGGCTTTCCCTTCCACCGCGCTACGCCGCCCGGTACCGGAGTGTGTCTCGTCGGTCCCTTCTGGGGGTGCCCAGTCCCTAATCTGTCTTGCCTTTCCCCCCCCTCGAGATCTGTTTGTCCACGGCGCTTTCCTTTCATCTCCGATGCCCAGGGGAGCCGGCGATGGCTAGGCGGCCTGCGGCCCTCAAGCACTGCGAGCCGGCACACTCGCATCAACGCAGTTCCCCAACCCGATCCCCCGCCACCCGACCCCGCTCCACACTTGCTCTTCGCGCCTCGCCCGGGCCCCCGCCCCCACCCCCCCGCCGCCCCGCCCGCCCGTGTTTCACCCGGCCAGCTACCTCTTCCGCGCGCGAAGCCTCCCGGGCGCTACCCCCCCAGGGCCCGGCAGGCGCCTCCCGGTACGCGCACCGTTCCACGATGCCTACCGGTGGGCCGCGCCTCCAGCGAAGCTTGCCCCAGCCCGCCACCCTTCCACAGACGGAACCCGGGCATTCGCGACTCTCCGTGCCCACCCTCCCGCAGCGTCCTCTAAGCCGCCCCGTCGTGCGACCCGCCGGTTCGGATGCTTGTTTTAGCAATCGACCTATCCACCATCACGAGCCCCTAACTCCCCGCCCCCACTCCCGATAGATCCACCTCCACAGGAGACTACTTCCAAAAGTCTTTCTTCCCGCGCACCCTCCCGCGCTGGTCGACACACACCCGGCTACTGCCGGGCGCCGTCCCTGCCCTGGGGGAACGGCACCCACCCCGCACTCCTCGGTGGGTCTCATTCGCTTGTGTCCGCTTGCCTTCGTCCGTCGCCCACGCCCCCGTGGCACGCGTGGGGCACATCGCCTCTCGGGCGCGATTTAAGGAGTGCTGCGGGATTCGCTATGATCTCTGAGGTGGCCCGCCGCGGACCCGTCACCGCCGCGAACACGTTGCGTTCCGGGCCTCGTAAGGCCCGGGCAAGACGGCGCCGACGGTCTGGCCCCCACCCTTGTGCGGACACTCGCTCGCTTGCCCTCTTATCAGCTCTCTTGCCCTGCCGCCGCGCTCCGCCGTGATCCCACCTCCCCGGGTTCAGTTACTGCCTCGAGTATCGATCTCGGACCCGCCGGCGGCCCTTCTTATATTTCCTTCGGCTGCGGTGATTGAGCGCTAGCCCAGACGCGCCCTAACACAACGCCCCAAGCGCTCGCTCCTCGCTTGCCGCCGTTTCCCCCTCGCGTTCCGCTCTCCTGCCTTTGCGCACCCCCTTACCACCTCTCTAGCGGGGCGCGCGGCCCGTTCCCCCCACCAGAGTGAACTGCCCCTCCCGGCCCGACCTGACCGGTGCGCCCTAGGCTTACAGTCTCCTGCCCATAGCGCCCGCGGGTGCAATACTGCTTTCCTTCCTGGACTTGCGCGTTTGGTCCGCAGAGCTCATACTTTACCGCTCCGCGAGTGTTGCCGCGGGACTGGGCCTCATTCTCACGAGCTTCTGGTATCACCCAGGCCCTACCTGACAGTTGGGCAGACCTCTGCGCACTGGCGGTTGCGCCATCCGCGCTGCGCCGAGCAAGACCCCTTCATCCCCCCCTCCGGACCCCCATGGTCCACCATTTCTGCTTGTTGCTTCGCCTGGACCCTCTTCATTTTTGGCTCGACCCGCCGTCAATTGGCACTCGCCGGGCAGCCTCTCCACCCCCTTCCGGTGTCCAAGCCTGCGCCGATGCCCTCAACCGACGCTCCCACATCTCTCCGCCTGCCTCTTCGCCGACACCACACGCTTCTACCGGCGGTGCTCCCTCCGCCGTGGGCAGCCGGCGCCCGAGGGCTTCCGCACACCGGTCGTGCGGTTCTGGCGGCTTCCTTTGGCCCACTCTCTGACGACCGAGGCGGTCCCCCCAAGCAATAACCACAGCCACGCGCCCGCGTCTCCTCCCCCTCTTCCGCTAGGGCTACCCGATGCCCTCCGCTCCGGCTCGCCCCCCCATCCGCGGCACGTTTAACTGTACCGCCGCTGCGCCCGCCGCTTCCCGCCTCACCCCTAGCTCCTCGCCCTCTGCGTGTCCCGGCCCCACCCCTCCCCGAAGTCAACCAATGACCGCCCCCCCCCCATCGACTACGCCCACAGCCCCCCTCCCCTCCTTTCCGCCTCCAACCCGTCTGCCACACCGAGCCCCCCCCCCACGCACCTGTGATCTCTTGCGGCACCGCCACCCGCTGTGCGCGATACCCCGCCCCGATTTAGCCTCGCACCCCCCTACCCCCGCCCCCCCCTCCCCTCCTCCAAATGTGCCTCAAGCTCGCTCCGCGGGCTGCTCCGTTTGGCCCTCTCGGTGGGGTCGTTCTTCGGGGCACACTCCCGACCCCCTGTCTGTCCCACCAGGCATCTTCGGCTGAGCTGCCAGGCGGCGACCCCGGGCCATCTCCGACCCGCCGCCGTATTGGCCGTCCCGAGCCGGCGTACAGTCCCCCGCAGGTACGGCGCCGCCCGGACTACTCCACGCCCGGGCTTCCCTCCGTCCTGCGTGTGGGGGACCTTTACTATCACGTCCTCCGCTGGCACGCGCGCAGCGGCTTTACGAGCTCGCCCTAGCTCCCCCCATCCCACACAAGGGTTCCCTATTGTCCGCTCCCGCATTGCAAACATTGGGCTAATAAAGGAGTGCGCGACCCAGACCGTCTGCCGTCTTCGCCCATTGCGAATCAGTCCACCTTCCCCTCCGGCTCTCCCCCCTCCGTGCTTAGTCGCAAACACGCTCACCGCCCATCGGCTAAGGGCTGTCCTCTCTCTTTCCTGCGCCGCGGGTCGTACCCTCTGGTGGTCCAAGGTCCCGGCCTGACTCTCCGCCAGTTCTCTCCCGACAGTCTCTTCTTGTTCCCTGGGCCGCCCCATACCGCTCTCCACGCCCCATGCCTTGCCCCTTTGGCCCGGACCCGCTCAGCGCCTTGACTCCGAAGCCGCTGACGGCGCGACCTTCTGCGCAGGCCCCCCCAGTCTCCGACACCCGTCCCGCGCCCCTTCCCGACACGCGCTGCCACGTCGGCCCTGCCTTTCACCTTCCAGCGCAGCGCACCGCAGTCCCGCTACGCTATTAGCCTCATTGCCGGCCAGACTTTCTGGTGTTTCGTCAACCGCAAAGGCATTTGCGACCCCCCGCGTTACTGCTCTTCTGAGTGAAGTCAACGTGGGGATTTGCCAGTCCCAGGCAGCGGCCACAATGATTTATGCGCTGTCGGCTAATGTTAACTTAATTAAAAAATAAATGAATTCAGAAATAAGCAGAAATTTTTACTGTATCAAACTTGTAATAGTTGTTACCGTACCATTTAAAAACCTTGAAATTATATTTAAATTACCGCTACATTTATTCTCTTTCTAATAAAGCAATTGTTAAACAACGAGATCTTTATTAAGTAGCATAAAGATATGAATAAATATGTTAATTTTCTATACAAGTCCTACTTCTTAATAAATTAAATATTTTAATAGTAAATACATATTTCACCGTTATAGTCATAATTTTTCCTTAATATTTCTAATACTTTTTTTAGTTCCTGAATTCTAGATATGGAAAAAAAATGTGGCAAAATATATGAAACTATTGCCCTGACTCAGCCAAATCTTTTCCCTCTCTCTCTTTCCACCCTCACAAATTAGATGTTTAACTTAACATTGGATCAGAATTATATGCATCGTCACTAAATCTAGGTTGGGAAATATGCAGCCTTATCCTTATAAAATACGCAGATCAAAACATCAATACTGCAATCATAAAAAATCATTTGAAATTTTCATTAGTTTATGAAGAAAAATTTAATTTGAGACATTAACACAGATTTAAAATGTGGTAGTTGTTCCGAAAATTCGCATGAGAGAAAAAAGTCATAGAAACATCGAGAAAAAATAATTAATATTAAAAAATAAAATACTATTAATATTTTTAATTTAAAAATAAATGCAGTAAAGAGTAAAAATTTATCTCTTTAGTTATTATAATTTTTATGAACACATATGATGAGAATTAAAATTTTGAGGCTGCTAACTATGTAGAAATTTAAGTTGAAAATTGCGAAAGAGGAATTTGAATGTAAAGTTTCAAATCCTACATTCCTGAAATTCTGTTCATAGCTCAGTGAATTTTTATTTTTATGCTCCATGATTTCGTACTTAATTGAAATATATAAACAAGAATATTATTGTAGTTAAAAATTTTTTTCGCTTTGAGTAAAGCTGTATAATTTAAAAAAATTAAGATAGAATGTACGAAATTAAAGAGAGGACATTTTGAACTGAGTAGATTAATAGAAAGGTGCACAAAATTGAAAATATTGAGATGTGTATTATATTTGTACACATAAGTTGATTAATAAGAGATTTAAATTTATTGGGAAAATATTTTCATAGGATAAATTATAGATTACCTTATAATTTTTACATTCTGATATCATGATAGCTAATCTAAATTAATATTGTTTTCACATTTCAGCAAAAAATTGCCCTTTTAGCTGACTTTCGTATAATGTAATGAAGGAAGTTTTATTTCTTAAAGCAATATATACATTATAGCAACAATGCATAGATTTTTAATAATAAATTTCGTCAGTTTTTATAGTCCATTGATGCTACAAAAATTGTCGATAAACATAGTACTTAAATTTTATTCAAATAGCTGGTAACAAAATGCGCTCATACTTTTATTTTCATGACATTAAAGTAAATACCTTATTCACGAAATAAAATTCGGATCCCACTTGTAAAAGGAAATGTAAATATTCTATATATTACAAAATAGTCCTTTCTAGGCATAAAAATTCCTCTTTACTTTGACAGTTAAATTAATCTGAACCCCACACTTGTCATCTTGCGTTTCAACTACTTTAATAAGAGCAAAATCAATATCGAACGAACCGTGATTCGGCAAGAGGATCTAAAATGACACCATTTTTCTTCCAAGTGAAAGACATAGGCTTGTCGCCCAGGGCTCTGCATTCCAAAGTGGCTCTTTCTCCTCTCCTGGCTGCCATCATGGTGTATTTTGAATGAAACTGAGGGGCACCTGAAAGTATAAAATTTCCAAGGAGTAATATATAAAAAACAATGACAATTCTAAGTTTCTCTTTCAAAGGAGATGAGTGCAAATACTTACAGAAACACCAATAGATTTCAGTTTGAAATTCCATAATATTTTTCTCATGCCGAAATGAGAAAAAACCTCAAAGAAAACCTCTTAATAGTATTTCCATTTCGCAGATTTAGTACCCAGGCAAAATAATAGAAAATATTGTGATTTGAGAGGAAACATTCCTCAGTTAATAAGCCCAAAATTCCCAAAATTCCTGTAATTTATGATGAAATATTTCTATTTTAAATCATATTAAATATAAGATTTTATGTAGTACAACTGTAATTTCTGGAATGCCAATTCGTAAAACTTTAAGCCTGTCAGAGCTGTTTAGCTTAAATTTGCTCCAGGTGTTAAAATGGTGTTGGTGTTGGTGTATTTAATTATGGCAAAGCACACTAGGGCTATCTGCCTAAGGGGAGGGATGCCTTCGTGGAGGACTTTCTAAGGGAAACTGGCTCGTATACACGGTTACACATGGGGAAAAGCACGAAAACACCCATGCAGCCAGCCCGTTCGCGGGATTCGAACCTCTGACCGAACTACCAGTGTTCAGCGACTTTACCGCTCGGCCGCTGGTGGGCTCCAGGTGTTAAAATGAAATCTGAAAACTAAGACAGCAGTTTCTTTTAATCTTATGATTTTTCATGCTTCTAAATATATTTTTCACTTTTCTGAATTTTAATGATAAACTCTTCGAGGAGTTAAACTGCAATTTTAAGTTCCAGATTATAATTTGTGTTCTTGCACTTTAAAAACAATTATATGCAACTGACATTTGATATTGATCTACACAGATGCAAGTGATATTCTATACATATTCTATACAGAGCTAGCCCATTATCCATAATAGTTAAAGATATCAATATTATGTATCACAACGCAACCGTCTTCATAAAATTTTTGTGTTGAGCCATGAGGAAAACGAATTGAATTTGGATCAAAAAACCTTCTTGTAGAAACATTTAAGCTGGCCGAAAGTTGTTGCAATGGCATTGACATCACGGCTTGAAATCAAAAAGTGAATTTATTTACTTACATCCGTATAACCGGTACTTAGAGGAATGCGAATTTTCTGCATTTTCAACTCTGAGAAGATAACTGCGCTTAAGAAGGTTAGCTTTAGATAAGAATGTGGAAAAAGAGATTATCGCGCTACTAAAGAGGAAGCAAAACAGTTTATTTTCTTCTTTCAAAATCGCTTAAAACACTATAATATTTAATTCAATATCAATGATTCTATTTACAATTAAAATGCAGTGAAGTTAAATAACTGGACATTGAATAAGAGAACTAGTCTTAAATATTTTCCTGCAGTCTGCTTATACAAGTTGAATATATATTTAAATAATTTTTATTTGGAATAGATAAATTCATCATTATTTTCTTCGATTCACATGTACTTGTCAATGGCGTTCGTATGACTAAAAATTGTGGAAAATAATTTAATTTCTTATTCAGCATCTACAAGTTCTTTTACCGAGAAAGAGATGGTTTACTTACTATGGACAGAAAGGCGGACGACTGTGCTGAGACCTGTTCCAATTCCATTGTTGGCTTCACATAAATAGTATCCCGAATCTGTTGTCTCCACGTTTCGGAAATTGAGCGATCCATTCACCAAAATGTGAACATGAGAGCTGCTGACTATGGTCTTAAACTTTTCAGGAGGTTCACCTAAAATGCAAATTGCAAATTTTTTTAGGGGTTAAAAATGAGAAATTTTACTTACTAATAAATTAAAAAAAACCTTGTACTTAATGCATATTTAAATTATCATACTAAATCCCAATAAACGAAGTTATTTGTAGTAAGGTTAGGCTAGAAAAGTTTTTCTAAATAATATGGCGACTAAGAGAGTTTGAAGACCAGGGAATAATAATTTATTCTGTGCTCACTTATAGCCTGACTCAGCACATTTGTTCTACTGTACTGATATCGTAATTGTTGCATCGCAGAAGAACTGGAAGAAATTAATTTATCATAACATAAAATGTTTAACGTAATCTACAAAACGATAGCGAGACATAAAAAGCAAATTATTTTATAATAATTAAATTCCTGAAATGTATTAAAATGCAACTGTACCTGAATTTCGCATGCGAGAGAAAATCGCATTAGTATAAATAATATATCACTTATTTAGTATAAATATATCACTTAGTATAAATAATAAGTAAAATTCAAATTTAAATTGAATTTCTTTCGGATTTCTCTATGTGGTTAGAAGAAGACTGGAGAGGGACAAGTGTCAGTCTCATCTTAGATGCGTACAAGTTTCCTCTATATCAATTTAACGATTTGCCTGATTTTAAACTTTCAGGCTCATTTACACGAGAAAATTTCATATCAAAATAGTATGCTATAAAAGTAGTGTGTTTTAGAAAGCGAATTTTGCATAGCTTTTGGCATTTTAATAATACGTTTGTTGTAACTACATTGTTTATAGTTTTAGAGGCATAGATATATGGACTAAGTTTATGTGCACTACTGCTGTTGAATGAAAGAGAATAAGAGGAATAGGAAGGGGATTTGACTGTATGCCAGATCACGTGCAGGCCACTATCAGACATGTTACCTAATCTCAGTTCCTCGATGAAAGAAGCACTTCTGGAATTCTTTGTTGCCAGAGTATCTGATTGATTAACTTACATGAAGACTAGTTCTTCGGCGAATGCTAGACAGAGCTGCAGTTCTGGACAGAGAAGCTGTTGCGCTAGCCAGAGCTACAGACAAAGCATTTTCTCCAGCCTCGTAAAATGTTACTTATACGTAGGCGCAACAAATCATCGAAACATCGGACGCAAGTTCTGAATTCAATACACACTACTACAGTACTCAAGATACTACTCTCTTCTGCTCAAAATACTGCTACCCCGCGTACAGGCAGGGAATATATAGAGTATCTTACCTTCGAGAATGTTCCCGAGAAAACCACTAAGCATGCGTTCTAGAATGTATTCGGTCCATTTATGGAAAATCGCCAATTATGTCGCCAAATCTGGCAACCGTAATACCGCTTTGAGGGGAACCTATCTTACCACCAGCTGGGCATTTCGCAACAATAATATATATATATATATATATATATACATATATGATTAGTTCTGATATGATTATTTTAATCATTGATCAGCGTATCTCCACCAGCATACCTGCTGCTTATACTAACATCCAACTACTTTAACTCGCAACTTGATTGCTCACAATTCCGTAACAAATTGATAGAAAATTTATTTATTATCAAGCATTATTTGTTTTTATAATGTTTTGCTATTTCTTTACTATGTTGCGTTGTTTTTCTACAACAAATAAATTTTTTATCGATTCGTAGCAGAATTGTGTTTAACCAAATTGCTAAATTTTCCTGTGGTTGCAAATATTTTTCCTCCGCGAAATAACTGCACATTTTGAAAATTTTTTACTTAAAGCAATATTTATTTAACCGGTTTCTGGAATGCATCATACAATTAAGGTCACAAAATAGCATGCATCTGCAGTTAATCTGCAATAATTGATGTTACTTGAGTTACAGATATTGATTTTTCGAAAACACGGTTAAGTATTTAGAACCACCATATGTCAGATAAAAATGTATCTGGACACATATTTTGAAAAATTGAACCGAAAGTTTGTGTTTTACGTAACGTAGTCCATTAAGTAAAATTAATTATATCGAGCTGTTCAACTTGTGTATTATTTTTAGAATTACGATAATGTTAAAAGATAAGCGGAAAGTTAAGATTAATATTTCATTTCTGGAATCAGTAACCAGATAATATTGTGTTAAGAAAGGTAATTGAATAATTGAGCTAGAAAAGGGCGAAGTTTAAAATTTTAACCTCTAAAAAGATAATATGATTTCGAAGAAAATATTTTCAAACATTTGAAGTCTTAGAGAGGGAAGAATTCCTATTTGAAACAAAAAAGAAGAACGGATTTTAAGCTTTTAGAAATTTCTACCTTTATTATAAGCATTTGCTTCGTTGAAAAAAATATACTATTACGTTTTTTTATTTAAATCTATTGAAATGTTTTAATTTTACCAGAGTTCAGCTTTTGGTATAAAATTCAAAAGTAAGTAACTGTCTTTTTTAAGATCACCTAACATTAAGTGTAATGTATAATCAGTTTAATATTTATTTATATTCTTAAAGTTTTATACATTTGATTTTTATGAAACATTCGTTTCGGAGGCCCCTCGCGCTGTCGAAAATCTGTATATTTGGAGCTCAGTTTCGAAATTGTAATACCTAGAAGGTAAAGGCCATAAAATTATGCAAATTGGTGTGATGTGCAATTTTATGGGAGTATAAAACATGCAAATGATCAAATTTTCTACTTCCTTGATCCAGTCAGTGACTTGTGAGAAAGGTTAAAGTGGTTCAAAAGCCGGGTAGAATGAACTTTTCTTCCGTCAGGAAACTTCAGATACGGGTGTAAAGGTTTGATAGTGTCATGTCTCGAGGAACTCGATTCCAGTAGATCGCTAGTAATAAGATATAACCTGCTGCAAACATATATCTAGTATGAAATTTCATTCTATAATTCAGATAATATTTACATTTATCATGATTGTTTTACGTCGAAATCTCAGTACTGTTAAGTGTTGAGTATTCCGGTGGTTTTAAGAACAACGATGAACTCGGATAATAGCAAGCGATGGTCGAAAGAGAATGCTTTTTTGGACAGCTTATCGGATTAAAAAACGACAACCGCGACATACAGCGAATGAATTTGGCTATCAAATATTAAACGCAAAAGATCCAATAGTGGCTACACAAGCCATCAGAACGTGCTTATACGATATTGGACGACCAGCAAAAGCTGTTCCATTGACCACAAACCACTCTCGAGTATTTAAGCGGTAGAGCATTCTATAATGGAGGACGATGATCGATGATTGATTTCGAAGCTATAAGCCATGAATAAGTCTTTAGACAAATTGTGTCGGCCCTACTCTTGGAATAATGATATAGAGTGGCTTAATATATGGTAGGGTGACTGCTCATCTCTTTCTTCCTGTACATAGACTGCTCAATATTACGTTGATTTTATCGTAGAGCCACTGCCATGACGATTCCTTCAAAATGTCTCAGATATTTTTTTTGGCACTACAACGTTAGGCGGCATGTGTCTGGCGCTGTGAATTATGCTGTACCTGAATCTGACGTGTAACTGTAGCCTGTAGCAAGCAATTCCAGACGTACGTTATTTGTTGGTTATTTTGAAAGGAAGGATTAGTTGCCAATTTTAATGTTTAACCTGGCCAAGTTTCTGCAGCGTGTGTAAACATGCCTCGGAGAATGGTAAATGACTTCATTGATATAATGCTAAAATGTGCTATGTGCGTGTTTTCCTGCGCATGGCAGTCACACTTCGTACTGAACAAATCGAGATTATTTACATATTTTGTTTCCAATTTTGCTCATTTGCGTACGATTAACATGTCTATTGATTCTGTGAATTTCATATTTTTGTGACCTTTTCTATCTGATGTCAAAATTTCAATGTTGAACAGCGTAATGTTTTATTTCTCTAAAATTGAAACGGTACTATTTTTTAGACGCTTTGTTAACAACATAACCACTCTTTTAATGTATGAATTTATCTTGCACGAAAGTAAATTAGTGAAATTTAAATTTTAAAATAATAAGGCCACTGTATTGCATTTACCAACATGCAGATAACACTGTATTGCATTTACCACACTGTATTGCGTTTACCAACATGCAGATAACGTTCTCTTTTTGCAAGATGTACCGATAAGTATTACCTAATGCGTATAGTAAAAAACGCGCTTTTACCTAAGTTTCAAGCTGTTACACAAGACACCAAAAATATAAAGTTTTCTTTTACCAGATTTCTGTGAATATTATTATATTGAATTATAAAGTAGTAAACGTGAGAGATTCATAATATACAAAGATTTTTTATAATTTTTTCGAGATTTCTAGTAGTGAGGTTAGTATGTAAATTATTGAAAATGTTAATATTTTTCATTGTGTCTAGTGAAAAATAATCTGGTATAATTGGAAGGGTCTTTAAACCGAACAGAACAAACTCGCATCGTTTTACCATGGGTTTAATCAACTGATCTAAAAAGAAAAGTTTTAAAATGCTCTGGTACGTATTAAATTTTCTAAATCTAAAGTAAATAAATCTCGACAGCCTTTTTAGATATTTTAATACGTCATTTAAAATAGTTTACCATGTGTAATCTCTCAAGATTTAATCATTCACACAGATAAACGTATTACAATAGATATTTCCAAATATCTGTCATATATATAATATGACAGATATTTGGAAATATATTCATATATTATATATATTTCATATATATAATATATGAAAATGTGTATTTGTCGGACTTATTGTACTATAATGTGCGTTTTAGCTAAAAAATGAAAATGCACTTCTTATTCTTTAGTTTCATTTAATTGATTGTGCATTCTTTATAAAAAATAAGACTACTGGCAGATAGTCTCAGTTCTTAAACATTTAATTATTATAATTTCTATATGGAAGAGACATACGTTATACTATGATGCTAGAAGAAAATATAACACTAGGAGAAAGAAAAGTATATTTAGATCATCAAGGTTTCATACAAAGCTCTAGTTCTCCGACTTTTGCCCTAATTCTAATTTTTTAGTTCCAACCTTCTCTTACGG